AAGCATCAGCCTGAGGTGTGGAAAAACCATGCACACGCGCCAACGTATCTGCAACTAAGCAAATGCGCTCGCCACGCAAGCCGCCGACAGAGGCAGGCTACTGGGCTATGAATCGGGTCCTGACTTCTGTTGTGTAACAGCACGTGCCTGTAGTTGTGGAAATAGCGCATCGCCAGTGTTGAAGGAAACCAGCTGCTGTCGAGAGACAGGCCTCCAAGCTCGTGGAGCACAGACTGCAAACACCGCACATCTCGATCATGCTGATCGCCTCCTCGGTGGTTGCGGGGGTGTCACAGCATGGAGGAACACAAATAAGAAAGCCTGCTTCTTTCTTCTTCGCCCCTTGTGAAGTTCCTAGTAGTCCCATTCAACAGCCACCTCCTTAATGTCTCGGTAGCCTACCTGGCCAAACTCGCAGTTTGTCAGGACTGTACACTCGTCAAGGAGCTGCTCCCAGAGATCCGGAGGCATCACTTTCGGTGCGTCGTAAGATGCCTTGACAGTCTCTTGCGACTCGGGGCTGCTTTGCGCTTCCCCTAATAACAGCAAAATGTCTCACAGCAACAGCGCCGTCTGTCCGTACTCATTCATGTACGTTTATTTGTACAAGCCATTAGAAGAAAACGCAAACAGCAGCAAATCAGCAGGAGAGACACGAAGCACGCATTTACTCGAGAGAATATGCACACCCACCTCGAGCTTGTTCTGCAGCGGCGGGACGAGGGGCAGCCTGCAGCTTGAGCTGATCGATGAGGGAATTCACGAGCGAACGGTTGCCTTCAGCCATTGCAGCTCGCCAAACGACAGGAAGAAACAGGCGCCAGACCGCTCCCCGCGTCTCGGCTATAAGGCGGCAAGCACTCTCTACGTACACAGATGGGTCCTGTTGCAGACATAGAACACCCACCACAAAACAAACCCAATGTCTGCACGCAAGCAGCCCCGACACTCGCTACGGCGGGGTTATTGATGCAGAGAGCCCGGCAGCTCCAGAGCTGGGGCAGCCGCTGAACATAGATAACCAGCAACAACCGGTCTCAAACAACGCCCCCGTTCAGAAGGCCAACACAGGCAGCGTATGTCCCCGGAATGAACGCGACAACCCCGACTTCCCATAAACAGACCTCCAGAGAGACTCACCTTTTTGCTCTCCA